AGCTTTGGCACAGCAAATAAACTACAAAAAGTGTGAAAAGAGAACCTATAGAACGGAAGAAAATCTTTGTCAGTTATTTTTCTGACAGAGTATGAATATCCAGAATTTATAAAGAACAACAAAAACAAAAACACAAAACAAACCAAGTGGCAATGAATAAATGGGGAAAAGAACTAAACGGACTAAACAGATGTTCCTCAAAAGAAGAAACACAAATGGCCAACAAATGTAAGAAAAAAATGTTTAACATCCCTAGCAGTTAGAGAAATATGAATCAAAACTATATTGAGATTTCATCTACCCTAGTGAGAATGGCAATTATCAGGAATACAAATGATAAGCCAGCCATGGTGGTACATATCTGTAATCCCAGAGACTAGGAAGGCTGAGGGAGGAGGATTCTCAAGTTCAAAGGCAGCCTCAGCAATTTAATGAGGTCCTAAGCAAGACCCTATTTCAAAAAAATAAAAATAAAAAGGGCTAGGAATTTAGCTCAGCGTTTAAGTGCCCCTGGGTTCAATTCCCAGTTACCAAATAAAAAGAATACAAATAATGATAAATGCTGGTGAGAATGCAGGAAAAAAGGTATGTTCATTCATTGCTGATGGTACTGCAAATTAGTATAACCACTCTGGAGATTTTAACCAGTATGGAGATTCCTCAAAAAACTAGGAAGGGAACCACTAGCTATCTCACTCAAGATTTATCCAAAAGAACAAAAATCTGCATATTGTAGTGAATAGTCATCTATGTTTATAGCGGCACAACTCACAATAGCCATATGGAACTAGCCCAGGTGCCAATCAACAGATGAATAGATTAAGAAAATATGGAATATATGGAGTTTTACTGGGCCATTAAGAATGAAATCATGCCCATAAATGGAACTGGAGAATATCATGTAAGTGAAATGAGCCAGACTCAGAAAATTAAGAGTCAAGTGTTCTCTCTCATATGTAGAAGTTATGAATGAAGCAGGGAAAAGGGATGGTCAGATATCATAAGAACAGGGAAAAGATCAAAAGAGTAGAGGATTAAAGAGCAGGGACAGGAAAGGGGAGAAAATGTACAATGAATTTGACAAAATTAGGCAATGTGCATGTATAAATATACCATAGTGAACTCTACCTTTAGGTAAAATAAGCACCAATTAAAAATATACAAATGGGGGTTGGGGCTATAGCTTAGTGATACAGCACTTGTCTCACATGCATGAGGCACTAGGTTTGATACACAACACCACATAAAATAAAGATTTAAAAAAGAAATAAATGTAAAATATATATATTTTGTATATATTTATAGAATAGAAAGCAGACCAGTAGAGTGGTAGAAAGGGAATGGGGGAGGGAGTACGCGAGTACGGGAGTACGGGAGTACGGGAGTACAGGAGTACAGGAGGGAAAGGAGGGGCACTGGGGACTGAAATGGAGTAAATTAATATCCGTTCATGTATGATTATGTCAAAATGAACTCAACTATTATGTACAACTATGAAGCTCTAATAAAAGCCAAAAACAAAACAAAACAACAACAACAACAAAAAACTCAATGTGAAAGAGAAAACTTTAGGGGTACAGAATATAGGACACTACAACAAAATAAACACAGCTAGAAAACTAACATCTTTGAAAGAGAGGTGAAGATTTACACAAGAAGAAATAAAGGAAGGAAAAAAAAAGAATGACAAGAAACGTTATGTATGCTAATAGACATAAGGAACTGAAAGATTCTGATTAAGTTTAACTGGAATCCCAGAAGGGAATTAGCAAATATTTGGTGTGTCGGGGTGGGGGTGGGGGGACAGCTGAGAATTTTCTCAAACTGATAAAAAAGATATCACACCTCAGAATCAAAACCTTCCAGAATACAGGATAAGTACACATAGAGAAAACAAAACCAAATAGTATCAAGAAACAACTGCAAGAAAAAAGGAAAAAATCTCATAAGCTGCCAGAGTTTTGGAAAAAAAAAAAAAAATCACTGCTTTCAAGGGGGGAGAATATTTAAAATGTTTCAGGGTGGGGTGTAGCTCAGTGGTGAATATTTGCCTAGCCAAATGAGGCCTTGGGTTTCAAATGAAGAAATGAAAAAATTAAAATAAATAAGGCTGACTTCAGATAACAACAACAAAGTTTCAGAAGATATTGGGATGGTATACTTTAAAGTACCAAAGGGGAGAGGGTGAGCTCTTAATCCAGAATTCTGTACTCATCAAAAATATCCTTCAGAAACAAAGAAATGCAGACATCTTTAAAAAAAAAAAAAAAGTTGAGAGAATTTCTAACTGTAAGACTGGCACAAGAAATAATGAAAGAAGTTCTTTGGGTTAAACACAAATAATCATAGATGAAGTAGAAAACTGCTGTTACAAGGAAGGAAAACACAGGAAAGAGCAAGCTTTTAAGTAAATATAAAGCTACTAACTATCTAAAGCTATAGAAGTCTTACAGGGTTGAGAAGACAGGGAGAAGAAAACAAGATAACAGCAGCACCCAGGGCGGGAAGTGGTAAATGTCACGATACTGTTGCAATTTAACTGTCCTGTTCTTGCATACTACAATAAACTCCAAATGAATTAGAGATTTAAACATAAAACACATAATGTGCTAAATTTTAGGATCAGATTCTTTATAATCATGAAGTGAGAAGAACTTTCTAATTATTCCCTTAAATGCTATAAAGTTTAAACCCATAAAAGATTGATATAACAAAAAGTAGTAATTTTCAACTCATAAAAAAACAAGTAAATTGTGCTCTATATGTGTAATATGAATTGTAATGCATTCTGCTGCCATATATAACAAATTAAAATTTAAAAATGCAAAAAAACAAGCATTATCATCTCTAATATATAAAGAGCTAACTAGACACAGGATGGGAACAAAATGTGCATAATAACAGACAGTTCACAGAAAAATACAAAGCACTCTTACACATGTGAAAAGGTACTCAACTTCATCCAGAGTGAAGAAAACTGCAGATGCTAACTACACAAAATACCACTTTTTACGTATCTGGTACCCAAAATCCAAAGGTTGAAACACACCTCTATGGGAGAAGCTGTGGAGAAATAAGTCCTCATGAATTGCCAATGAGACTATAAAATGATACCACCTCTAGGACAAGGCAGTCTCACTAAGCTGATCAAGCTCTGGGAATTAATCTAACAGACATATCTATTTATGGATTATTTTGTGTGTACATATATGCACATGTGTGTATGCAAGGTTACTCATTCTAACATGGTTTACAATAACAAAAGGTTGGAAGTAGTTTAATAAACTTGAATATTTACACTTAAATTACCATGTAATTGTGACAAAGAAAGCAGCAGCAATCCATGTTCTGGTCACAGAAATCTCTGGTGTATGTAAGTGAAAAAAGAATGGAAAACAGTGTACAGGCTTGCTACTCAAAGGGTGCCCTTGAGCAGAATTGGCTTCACCTGGAAGCTTATTAGAAATTCAGAATCCAGGATACCATCTATATCTACTAACTCAGAATCTGCCATTAACATGACACTAGAAATACACAGGCCCATGTAAGTCTAAGAGGCCCTAAAGGACAATGGATTCCTTCTTAAATAAAGGGAGGGGGTATATAAGAATATGTACACTTATTTCTTTTAACCAGATAAAGAAACACTGGAAGGATAGAAAAGAAACTGTTTTTAAAAATAGGGATCTATAGTAGGGTGACCATACACTCCAGTTTGGGGCTGTCCCAATATATGCCAGTTATCCTAGCATACTAATTTAAAGAACTTCTTTCACACTCAGTGAAAGTATCTCTGTAGGATAAATATCACCCTACCTAGAGGCTGTATTTATCAGGTTAAAAATGCAAGCAGAAATGAAGAGAAAGGGAGTGCAAAATCTTTTATCTTTAAGATTATCGTTTTTCTGGTTTGAAGTTTTAATTTTTTTATTAATATAGTCACTTAGTTTTTAAACATATTGGTATATTATTAATTCAAAAGCATTTGATTAAGAAAAAAAATAAAACACATGAAACCAGTCAATAAAGCACAGAGGAGGAGTAAGTCAAGGATGGAAATATGGGTATAAAATCACCTGGGACAAAAAGCAAAGATGCTTTCCTGAGGATTAGAGAGGAAATCAAGCATCAGAAACAGGGAGAGCTTACAGGCTGGGGTTGTGGCTCAGTGGTACAGCACTCGCTTAGCACATGTGAGGCCCTGGGTTCAATCCTCAGCACCACATAAAGATAAATAAATAAAGGTATTGTGTCCAACTACAACTAAAAAATATTTTAAAAAAAGAAAAAAGAAACAGGGAGAGCTTAAAGGATGATGTTGCAGACACCAACAGAGGAGACATTCAAATCAGAGATTGAGGTCAATACTATCAAATGTTGTTCAACAGTCTAGTAAGGCAGACAAAAATATCTACTGGTTTTGACTATAATTTGGTGGCTTTTTCTAAACTAACTCAGGTGAATGGTGGTAATGGGACAAGGATGTATTTATCAGGTTAAAAAATGCAAGACATAAGCCAGAACTACCTGTGACTGTATATAGAAACACCAAGCCAACACATTAAGGAATGCTGTTTTGAGGACATGTAACCCCTCCATTCCTCCGTACCTTTCAGGTTTTATTCTTGAATTAATCAGGATCATCAGAGAGCAGTCTAGTCAAACCTCTCAATGTTTGGTCTTCTGAAAAGAGAGACTGGGTTTTGTGCACTGGGTTTTGCTCCAGCACTACTTTGTTTCTAGCCAAGAAATGATTATAAACAATATATCACATTTATTTAAGGGATGTTATTAGAAAATTCACAGAAAATTTTACAATAACTTGGACAATCCTATGAAATTAAAAGTCCTTCATCTAATTTTGCCAACTGTCCTATTCTGAATTTGCTACGCTCTATTTCCCTTAATATAAATCTTTTGCCTTGTTTTACTTTTTCTCCTAAAAAAATGAGTCCTTATAAACTTAAAACAAAGTGGGAGTAAATAAACAAAACACTCACCTGGGATTTGTTCATTTTCCGCTCTTATTGGAGGAGGGAAAGCTAAGAGAGAAGGAAGGAGGATGTCAGGAGAAACTTGGCCTGCCTTGCAGTTCCTAGATTCACCTGCCTATACAGCTCCACAACAAGATACTTACCTGTCCATGTGTGGCTCCCATATGTGTTGAGTTTAGATATGATACTTTTCACTGAGTGTAAGCAAATATTTGTTTCTTATTCATTTGTTACCAATTTAGGTTCTGTTACACAGAGAAATTAAAAACATGAAAAGATGAGTTTAAAAATAACAGTAAATCTAAAGAAGGAAATAGTATGGATACCAATGTTGCAAAGGGAGAAAAACTATACCACATTGTTTATTTACCTGTTAACACCATTAATCCCTTGAGATCAGATAACCCAAGAAATCTCTAACCCTCCTTTATGGTGTGTTTAAGGCAAGATAAATTTTTTTTTTTTAAAGAATGTTTGTTCTAACTTGTTTACAATTAAAAAAAAAAACCTTTTTTTTTTTTTTTGCGGGTGTGGGGGGACACTGGGGATTTAACCCAGGGGCAATTTACCACTAAGATACATATCTATCCCTGCTTATCTTTAAATTTTGAGGCAGGATCTCTCTAAGTTGCTTAGGGTCTCACTAAATTGCTTAGGATCTTGCTAAGTTTCTGAGGCTGGCCTTGAAATTGCAATTTTCCTGCTTCAGCCTATGGAGCTACTGGGATTACAGGCTTGCCCCACCATGCCCACCTCAAAAAGATTTTTTAATAAGAAACTAACTATGACTTAACAGTGACAAAATGGATAGCAAGGGCCCAGGAATCTGCAAATCTTACATTTCTTGGTCCTGCCAATGACAAACTGCATGATGTGAATCACTTTCTCACAAACTATTTTTAATCTTTTAAATGCGATAAAACAAAGAGGACTTGCCTGCACTACCATCCTGTGAATCTATAAGGCCAGGAGAGCAGGAAACTCAGCATCTCTCTAAATTCCACCCTTGGATGGTACACTAGAAGTGCTAGCCTCAGTAAAGAGTGAACAGGATAGGAAGGATACGGGAGACTTTTAACGAGAAGGGATGGCATTTTGTTAGCTGCCTCTGGTGAGTCTTTCATTCCAGCCCATGCTCCAAAAAGGTGACATTTCCTGTGCAGCCTGGGTGCCCACCCCTCTCAGCTCCAGCTCACCTCTCTTCTTAAACTTGTCCCAGACCTTCCACCGGCACACAGCCTTCGATGACTTCAGAATACTGTGTTATTATACATAATAAATAATAAATAAACAAGTAACAAATAAGGAATATCTTAGAATGCAGGTGTGTTAGGGCCAGCAAAATGCCTTGGTGGCTAGATACGCCACTCCTTTTCCTTTTCCACTTCACTAACACAAAGGCCTTAGGGACCAGTCCAAGCTCCAGCAGCAAGGGAAGTCTTCTTGGGATCCTCCCAGCGCGCTACATATACACAATAAATCTATAGGATATTGGCTAAAAACCTGAAGGTGATCGAAACAACCCAAAGCGGCAAATATTCATAACATCCGCATTTTATAGAGAAGGAAGAATCTCACGTGGATTATTTGGTCAAGAGTAACAGTCACACCAGACCTGGCCCTCGCAGCCCCGCCCCTTCCCCGTGGGTCCAGCGACAGGCATACGTCACAACGTCAAGCACGCGTCGCGCACACGTCACACGCTACACACGCGCGGTCCCTTCCCCATATCCCCGCCCGCCGCAGCCCCACTCCCTCCCCGAGGGCCCAGAGCGTAGGAAAATCACTGGTACTCCCCACCTGTGGCCACACGACGGCGCCGCGGGCTAGGCGCTGAGGCTAGACCAGTGCGAACCCCGCGAGCACAAACACTACCGTTCCCGCGCCAGACCCGAGCCCCTTCCCCCGACAGGGATACACCCGTCCGGATGGCCTGCTTCAATTGCAGATGAACAAGGTCTCACCGCGGGGTCCGCGGGACTCCTCCAATCCGCCTAGGTCTCCTTCCGGTCCCCGAAGCCTCCCGGGCCCCCTAGGCCTTTGCTCAACTCCTCCGGGCTCACCCGCTCCCTCGCCGCGTGGACCCGGAGGCTGGCAATTGTTTCCCACGAGGGACTAGAGGCCAGGGACGACGAACTGCTGGGGGGGGGGGGGGTGCGCATGCGCAGAGGGAGAGGCGGTGCGACGGGATGGCTGGGAGACGGAAAGGTGGCTGAGCTCTTGGAAGGGATGCTGCTAGGCGGTATGCCTTCCATACCTCATTTTCCACTGTAGAATGAAGCTATTAACAATGTCTAGCTAGTAGAATTTCTATGAAAATCAAAAGCGGTTTGCATTGTAAAAGCACTTAGAACGCTGCCTGGCTCATAAATTGTTCAACACTTTTCTCGAGTTTGTACTTCCCGGTATACACGATGCCCATGTCTCTAAAAATCATCTGGATTTTTTGCCTAGTTTAATGAGAGATTACTATTATTCACTTGTGCAGGAAGCCAGCACACTGTTGGTGCACACTAGATTGTGGATCAAACCAATTTTTAGTCTCAAAGGAAACATATGCTTAAATTTCGTTTATAAATATACATTTATCGGAAACAGAAAACAGGTTCATGTAAACAACTGCAGCAAGCATGACTATTCTATGGAATAAAGAAAAAAGACAATCTATGAGTTCTGAAACCGGCAGGATGGCCCATGCATATGATCCCAACTCTTCAGGAGGCTGAGGCAGGATTCCAGCCTGAGCAGCATAGGGAGACCCCCCCCCCCCACCAACCCTACCTCATCTCAAAAATTAAATAATAAAGTAAAATTGTTTATATGTAGGAAACTGTTTACGTATCAAACTTATAGAAGTAAAACCTCTCTGATCTCGTGAAACCAAACATACTTTACAAACTAGAACAAAACATTCCTTGACGTACACCTCATACCATTTTTTTAGGACGCTGTTGTGTCAGAAGCAATGACTTAATCATTTGTTTTACTCCTCTCTTCAAAATTAGCTTTATTTTGCAAAGTCTCCCCTTGTAAAATCGTTTATTCTTTGCCCTAAGTGACTGATATAGTAACTGCTAGAGTCAACTATTCCAGGATTAAGAATTGAGTTGGTTTTTATAATTCTTTTGAAAAATGCCCTGGGGATATTGATATATGCTTCTAGTGGATTGACTCTTTCATAATTAGGCAATATCTTTTTTTTTGGGGGGGGTCTCTTTTGGTAGTTTTTTTTTTTTTTTTTTTTTACTTAAAATCTATTTTTTCTGCTAATAGAATAGCTTCCCTTTTTCTCTTTTGGTTATCTTTTCATGAAATATCACTTTATGTCCATTCACTTTTATCCTGTATGTCCTTAGATTTCATGAGCATGTCTTATAAACAACATATCATTGGATCTTTTTTCAAAAATCCATTCAGGACTTAAGAACTCTGCAGAAATCTCACCCTGGGGAGTACATTGATCTTCTCTGTCCAGACAAAATTCCGATTAACAGTATTTTATATTCCTTCCTACAATATACTGGTGAGAAGGAAAACTGAACTATTTCAACCAACTTCAGCTCTAAGCCGTTCCAGCTGGCAGCTCAGTGAGCAACACAAAAAGAGTAAAGGTTTGAAACCTTCAGGTCATGCTCTCTCTAAGGGGTACTTTGAGAAAAAGAAAGTAAGCTGGTTTATCTTCAGAATATTGTATTTAACCTTAGAAATGTCTAACTGTATCCCTTCCCTTTGCCCTGATGGAGGAGCTCTGTGTAGCTGTCTATTCGATTGGCTAATTTTAAAATTGGGGCAGGCATACTGGGGAGTGCTGTGTTAGGGATAGAAGCAGGTGGACTACCCACCCAGGCACATCTTGCTAGCCAGGTTACGTAGCATGCCCTTCTGACAGAAGTAAGGTGTGCCTTGCCCACCCACTTCCAAGCACATGTTTCATTTCTTGCAACACCTCCCTATTTCCAACAGTACACAGCTCTAGAAGAAACAGAAGGGCATCTGGTATAGGCAATGGACATCCACCCTTGTTGACAGTTTCGACCACCTCAGCAGAGACAACACTTTAATTTTTCATTGAGAATTTTTTCTTTTTCTTTTTTCTTTTTTTGGTGGTGGTTTTGCTGTGCTGATCAGTTCATGAATATATAAACACACACTCATTTGGGGTTTTCCCCATTTTTAAAAAAATTTGTAACATTTAATTAGTTTTATTAGAGCTTTATAGTTGTACTTTGTAATTTGATTCATCCTAACAAATTCATATATGCATGGAATTTGACTTCAGTAAAATTCCTCCCTTCTTTTCTTTCCTGCTCTTTTCTCCTGTTCTCCCTCCACTCCCCCATTCTCCTTCCTGTATTACACTTCCTTTTGCTCATCTATTTGTATATATTTGATTGGTTCTAATATATGCACATACCATGACTTTTTAAAGAACACATTTTGCATTGCCTCCCCTTTCCCATCCCTCCACTCTGTCTCTCAATCTCCTTCTACATTACTGATCTTCTCTTTATCATATCCTATCCTTCCCTTCCCTTTTCCTTTATTTTACTATAGCTTCTGTATATGAGAGAAAACATTTGACCTTTGAGTTTCTGAGTTTGGCTTATTTCACATAGTATGATATTCTCCATTTGCATCCATTTATCAGCAAATGGCAATTTTTTTTTTCACAGCTGAGTAGAACTCCATTATGTGTGTGTACACGCACACATATATATCACAATTTCATAATCCATTTATCTAATCCATTTATCTGTACACACACATCACAATTTCTTAATCCATTTATCTACTGTTGAACACCCTGGTTGATTCTATAATTTAAGCTATTGTGAATTGTGCTGCTATAAACATTTATGTGTCACTGTAGTATGTTGATTTTACATTTTTTGAGAAAAGACCCAGGAATGGGAAAGCAAGGTCATATGGTGATTCCATTAGTTTTTTGAGGAATCTCCATACTGCTTTCAAGAATGGTTGTACTAGTCTGCTGTCGCACCAACAATGTATCAGTATTCCTTTCTCCCCAAAACCTCATGAGCATTTATTATTGTTTGTATTCTTGATTAATCTGACTGGAGTGAGATAAAATCTTACTGTAGGTTTGATTTGCATTTCCCTGATTGTTAGAGATGTTGAACATTTTTTTCATATCGTTTTTCATATATGTGTTGGTCTTTTGCAATTCTTCTTTTGAGAAGATTCTGTTTAGTTCTTTTATTTATTGATTTAGTTATATTTATTGATTGGGTTATTTGTGGTTTTGGAGTTAAGTTTTTTTGAGTTATTTGTATATTCTGGATATTAATCCTGTATTGGAGGAGTAGCTGGCCAAGATTTCCCCCCATTCTGTAGGCTCTTTCTTCATGCTCTTAATAATTTCCTTTGCTGTGGAGAAGCTTTTTAGTTTGATGGCATCCAACTTATTGATTCTTGGTTTTATTTCTTGTGTTTTGAGGGTTTTGTTAAGAAAGTCAGTACCAGCATCTATATGATAGAGTGTTGACTTATCCCCCATGTCCATTATGGGGGAGGGAATGATTTTCCATTTGGTGGAATGGTTTGCTGAGAAATAAAAGCTAAGAAAAGTAGTACGATGAAATAACCACAGAATACAGAAAGTAGTTTCAAAGATTGGGCAGAGATGGACCCTCAAAGCTTACCAAATGAGTCCAGCTTCTAACAAAGAAAGGAACCTGCATTTGCTTTATTTATATTGGAACACATCAAAGGCTTTCTACAGAAAGTTCTTCACCAAAACAGGATAGAGGTAGGGGCAAATAGGCTACTCTGTTTCTAAAGGGTCACGCCCATCTCTGTTTCTGCATGAGACCTCTTAGCAAAGCTGAGGGGAAGTTCACTTGCATTTGAGTGATCTATCCCCATAGGACTGCCATGGTCAGTAATTTACCAGTACCAAATCACTGGCTCCAATGCTGAAGAAGCTCCTCACACATTTCACGGATGGCTTCTCACATTGATCCTATGTTTTCTACTAGCTGTTTCAAGGTTTCTCTAATTATTAAGTCTTTGATCCATTTCTATTTGAATTTTGTTCAGGGTGAGAGATACGGGTCTAGTTTCATTTTTCTACCTATCATATTATTCAGTTTTCCCAGCACTGTTTGTTTAAAAAGCTGTCTTTTCTCCAAAATATATTTTTGGCAACTTTATCAACTATCAGATGACTATAGGTATGTGGATTTGTCTCTATGTCTTCTAGTAGATTCCATTTGTCTTCATGTCTATTTTGATGCCAATACCATACTCTTTTTTGTTCCTGTAGTATAATTTCAGATCAGGTATTGTGATGCCTCCTGCTTTCCTTTTCTTGATTAGTATTGCTTTGGCTATTCTGGGTCTCTTATTCTTACAAATGAATTAAAGGGTTGTTCTTTCTAATTCTGCCAAAAATGTCATTGGTATTTTGATGGGGATTGCACTGAATCTGTATATTGCCATGTTATATGGCTATTTTGACAATATTAATTTGTCTATCCAAGAACATGAGATGTCTATCCATCTTCTAAGTTCTTCAGTTTCTTTCTTCAGTGTTCTATAATTTTAATTGTACAACTCTTTTATCCTTGGCTAGATTAATTCTCAAGTATTTTTATGTTATTGTGAATGAGATGGTTTTTCTTATTTTAGTCATTTTTTTAAAAGTT